ACTGTCACTTGCCATCACTAAAAGTGGATGAATCTCTCATGTCTTAAGGCTACAAAATCTTTCACAGCTGAAATATGTAAGAGTATCATCATGTCCTAGAAATATAGATGGGATTTGATAAAGGAGCTTTTGGCTTCTTTAATATTTCTAAGAACATTGGATAGAAAATTTGGTATACATGTAAAATATATGCTTGGTGACTGAGTCATGAAGTTAAGGCCTTCGGGATTGTACCAGAAAAAGGGTAAAATTACATATTACAGCTTTCACTTGACTCACATTTTTAATCCATCAAGTATATTCTCTGGATATATTTTTTGTTTCTCTTAATAAAATAATGTCATTTCAATGGCTCCCATGATGATGTTACATATTCAGTAGAGGCTCTAACAAAAACTAGTATTGTTGGCATGAAAGTCTTGGGTTTCAGAGTTAATTCTAGATACAGGTAACTATACAAACCAGTGTACACCCAACCAATTTATAGCCCTCAAAATAAAACCATGTTCAAGGAAAATAATTACATGCGCAACACATTTTAGTTTCACCATGTTTCCTTTTAAGACATGAAGAATAAATTCTCCTTCTTCTGGAGACCTGAAGCCTGGCTGCCATGTTACTTCACATTCCAGTGAGGAGTATGCTTCTACAGTGCCTACAGAAAATGTAGAGAGAAAATAAGACATTTTCCACATTTTAATTGTATTTATTTTTGTAACTATCCAAAATAAGAGTTAAGGTAAAAATGTAATGTCATTAAATAAATTATTAAAATTAAACTCCAAAACCAGAAAAATGCTAAGTGAGATATTATCAAATGAGTATTGACCTATAGAGTTTGATTAAAATAGAAAATGCATGCCTCATTTTTCAATTTTAATAGGCAAATAAAATACACAAAAAATATACCATTATTTGGAAAACAATAGAAAACTTAGCAATGAAGCAAATACTCTATGATTAGAGATAAATTTACATATAGACAGTAGAAAATCATTTGTGATTCCTAACAAAATTGCCCACTCCACATGTTTCCTGACATTCTGGGATGTTTGTCAGCATCGTTCATTCAGCTCACAGAAGGAAGAATTATCATTATCAGAGAACTTTTTTCTAAATACATACATCCCTAGAGATGTAGCTTCTGATTTAGCTATCGGTAATTAACACAT